CAAGCCCAAAATTTCAAGCCTGGAGGCATAGGCTATTGTGAGTAGAGGAGCAGAGTACTTTTTTCTAGAAATACCTCTGAACTCACTCAATTGTGTTCATGTCCGATATACAGTGTGTGGGTTCCAGGTGGATGAGCTGTATTCAAGAATTGGTCTGGCAAAGGTTTTGTATGCCCTAGTTAGCATTTCAATGTTACTAGAGAAGAAGCTTTGCAAAATAAGGTTGACAACTCTTAATGCCTTTTTGGCAATGCTGTTACAGTGAGCTCTGGGGCTTAGATAATTTGAGATGAGTAGTCCTAGGTCCTTGACAGAGTGAGGGTTGTCTACGAGATTGTTTCCGCCTAACTTGTATTTGATGTTCTGGGGTTTTTTTGTCAATGTGTAGGACAGAGCATATGTTAGTTGAAATTTGGAGTTGCCAATTACGCAACCATTCTGACACATAGTCAAGGTTGCTTTGTAGGGCAGCAGCATTGTCGGCGGTTTAAAATAATTTTACATCACGTCGAGGGGGACGCAGCTGCTTTTAATGTGATGTAAAGCAGAAAGAGTGTGGGTCCTAAGACACTGCCTTGGGGAACACTGCTATTAACTGGTGCTGGAGTTGATAGGGCCTTGCCTATTTTGACCATTTGTTGCCTGTTTGACAGAAACGTGGCTATCCACTTGTGCAGGGGTCTGAAGATGCTGTAAGAATTAAGTTTCAGCAGTAGTTTGTTGTGACCACTGAATCAAAGGCTTTGCAGAAGTCTATGTAAGTTGCATCTATTGCTTTCTAGGATCCAATTAATTCTGAGCATCACTTCTTTCCAGTTTGATGTAAGTAATCACCACTCTCAAAATAAGACTGCTTCTAGACATGATTTCTGATGGCTAGGCAGCTTGTCCCCATTTCAAATTATGCTGTCAGACAACAGAGAAAATACTTATTGCAGTGATAACTAAGTACTAATTCTGCCCCTTATGTACTTTTTGAAAAAGTAGAGTTTACATCATAACAGCAAAAGACACATTTCATCATTTGGTTGTCATTGTGGTTAAGAACAAATGCCAAAAAGCAAGATGCCATCTTTTTTAAGTAATGACAGTTCATCGAGCAGTAAAGCCAGCATCTTCAAAATAGGTTATCTCTGCTTAAAAAGAAAGAGGAGATCTCAAGAGGAAACTTAAATCCAGAAATCTGATATATAATTGATGTATTAAGTTGATATATGTGAGTCTTGTTATGGTTTAACTTGCACACTCCACAAAATGTTCCCTTTGGCAGAATAGATTTTTTTTTCCCAGGGAATTTCATACTTTTTGCCCTCTCCTCATGCATTTTACCCTCCTCATGCCTTTTAACCATCTCCTGGTCACCTATTTCAGCAGATTTAAGGCAGGTGTATACACATCTGTCAGCTCAAGAACCATGCTTACGTGACCTTTCAAAGATCATATGTCAGGTGCAAGCAACCAGAACAGCTCTATAAATTGATCTAATAGGTTATTTTATTGTGGATCACCAGTTTACAAGAATCTTGCCGGATTGTCTGTCTTCCGTTGGTAATAAGGCAGGTTTAAATCTAAGGGTTTGACTTAAGATGTATCTTCCCCCTCATGGACTCTAAGCTGGAATGTCTTTTCACCCTCGGGACCATCTCTCCTTCAGCTGATGTTTCCAACACACCATTTTCTCAAAGCGGAAAGAGCCAGGCCAGTGTTAGCGGGAGATTATAATGGGTAGATTGAAAAATCCTTAAGCAGTTGCAAAGTTTAAGGTGTCAAATTTTCTTCTTCTCCCCCAGTTCCCTAAAATCTGTGAAAGAAGCTCAGCCATGGAGAGCTTTGTTACCAGAAAAGGTTGCTGGTAAAAGTTGCCTATGGCCCCGGGTCACAATTCCACAATTCCTCTGTTCCTGATTTTGATAAGCCCTTGTAAAATGGGACATGGTGGCTCAGTGGCTAAGACGCTGAGCTTGTCGATCAGAAAGGTCAGCAGTTCGATGATTGGAATCCCTAGCGCTGCATTACTTGTCCCAGCTTCTGCCAACCTAGCAGTTTGAAAGTATGTAAAAATGCAAGTAGAAAAATAGGGACCACTTTGGTGGGAAGGTAACAGCGTTCCGTGTGCCTTTGGCATTTAGTCATGCCAGCCACATGACCACGGAGACATCTTTGGACAGTGCTGGCTCTTCAGCTTTGTAATGGAGATGAGCACCGCCCCCTAGAGCTGAAAATGACTAGCACATATGTGTGAGGGAAACCTTTACTTTTTTTGTAAGCCCTTGTAACTGTTTAGCAAGTATAATACGGTGTACGGTTTGAGAATTTCCACAAGACCTTAGGAAAAGTTGTGGCTGAGTTAAGGAAGTGCTGATGGCTTCCTGTGCATGGTTTGAATTAATGTGTCACTGCTCCAGTGAGAATACTGCAAGATTAAATCATTCGTTCTTCCAATCCTACAGGAGAGTTCTGAACAAATATAGATGCACAGAAGGGTAGGTTTGTTGGTTCCTTTGCTTTTTATTTCACCTTACATTGTAAAAGAAGGAAACAAAATACCAAAAAGGCTAAGTTAGTTTAACTTACTTTATTGCTGGTTAAATTTGTTTCAGAAGAAAAAGAGAATGAAAGTAATTTTGGATGAATGTAGATAACATCTTGAAAAATCTGACAGAAAAATGTATTTTTGGTCAAAAATACTATGGCCTCAAGGAAGGTGGAGAAAACAAGGGGTTTCCTTCATGCTGAAGGAAGGAATGGCCCACTGGTTTGTTAGTCTTGTGATGATTGTTATCAACAGGATTTTCAGTAAGAAAAATCTAAGCTGTGTAGCAGGATTGAAGAGTATGAGGGAGAGGCTGTAGTGTATTCAAATATAGACTTCTAATACTACATTCTTATTGGTTAGTTAACACAGCGTAACTATTGGTTAAGAACAACGGGTTCTGATTGGCCGCATAAGTGGCAGGAAGTTTAAACACATGCCATTGGTTGTGAGCTGCGAGCAGCCGCTATAAAAAGGGCTGCCGCGGCTCGACCACAGTTGAAGTTACTAGTTGCTAATAAAGAGCTGATTTCAACTCTGGTATTCGAGTCTGCTTTGTCCTGGCGATGGAACAGAGGCATTTTTTAAAAAAGTCAAAACAAACAGCAGCAGTGCCTGTGGCTTTCAGACAAGTTTAGCTTTTCCCCTGTCTCTCTGTTGGTAGACAGACCTCACAGATTTCAATAACCCCCTGGCTGATTAGACAATAGTAGCAGATGTGCAGTCCAACAAATATCATCATGATTATCATCATGATCATCATGGATGTTAGCTGAGCAGGATTTATGACAAATTTATGTGACATGTGATAGTTCCTCCTTGATTGTAAACTTTTTCCATCTTTTTTTCCCCCATCATGGCACTGAGGTAGATGTCTGCTTCATAGGCTCATGTTGTTGAGAATTTTGAGGACGGTGTGTAGAGATATTTGGTGGTCCTGCCAGTTTGGTAGATAGCCAGCAACTTTGGTACCAGTTGGCCAGCAAAGGGAATGGCATGGAAAAAATGGCAGCAACAGCCATAAAACAGTGGGGAAGTCAGCACTGAGGCAGTGAACGAAGGAGCTAGAAGTGTTCACTGGAGTTCTATCAACATTTTTTTGGATGATGGCCAAGTGGATTACATTGGACAATGTTCTTTCCATTGCAAAATCTCCCTGATGAGCATGCATCAGGTAGTGGAAGTTAGATGTGTTGCAGATCAGGTATCCTCACTTCAAAAGACTAGCTCCTTCCCCTAAAGGATCAATCGTGATATCCATCTAGACCAGCTTCATGGGCTTGGAGTGGGAGATAGAACTTGCAAAAGACGTTGTCCTTTTTCTGTGGCTTGTTTCAGTCAATTTTGGTGACTGGGGAGAGGTCAAGCTGTAGGGCTCAACTCTCTCCCATCTCGCCTTAACATTTACATGAAACTGCTGGTCATCCAACAGCATGGGATAACAGAATAACAGAATAACTCAAAACAGAATAACCTGTTATATTACACCATCTCCAATTTTCAGAAATAAATGAAGCACCACAGATCATTCAGACAACAAAGGAGAAGGCAAACTCTACTTTAAAACCAGAATATTAAAATACAATTTTAAAAATGCCTCAAAGTTAAACCTGAACTTTGAGATGATATCATGAGGATATGCCCTCTAAAATACTGGTACTTAGTAAGGCATCTTTGTGCTACTCATACCAGAACAAGAAAACAAAAATGTCAGGGTGGTGCTTTGACAATGTGATAAAAGCCCTACCTGTTTGTACAAATAAGGATGCATTCACAAATGTTCAAAAGGGAACTGGACTTGAGTTGTGTTGCTGCAATTACTACCTTTAGGGGTTTTTTTAAACTCTTTCCATCGATGTCATAGAGGATGAGCCCAAATCATTAGTTGATCTCTACTCAGTTTTTAGAATGTGGGTAGCAGTGGGTACAAAAATCACAAAGTTAATTCAAGAGTAAGATCCTACCATAAACTTTGTAAAAGGACACTTTTGTAAAGTTGATGCAGAATTTTGGATGGCACTCAAAAGCTTCTGAGTCCTGAGTGCTAGAAATATTATCTTCCTATTTCCCCTAATTATAATGCTGGCAGCCTGGTTTTTCTTTTGTTTTTTCACTTTGCCTGCTACTAGATACTTGGTGTGAACTCTCTGAATTAATCATGAATTGACTTTGCTGTAAGTGACTGACCTCCTGCATATCAGGTTTTATTTACTGGCTTACTTTACAGCCAACTCTTAATCAGGTCTTTTTTTTATTTTTTTTAGAAAACTACAGTCTAAAATTGCAAGTAAGAGAGAGAAAGGCCACTTCCTCTGGCTAGGGAGGTTGTGAAATATTTGTGGAGACAATTGATTATGTAACTTTGGCCATGTCTGCAATTGGCTTGATTTTAGATCTGCGTTTCTGGTTTTGTTAGCTTTCATTCTGTATGATCTGCAGCAACCAATGGAGAAATTGGGTTGCTAGAATGCGGGAATTACAAGACAGCTGGCTTCCACAGATTCTTCCTTTCTGTTGTCTGTCTTCCTACTCCTACTATTTTGAAATCTCTGCATTTAGAGATAGGCTTTTGAGGTATGTCAATGGCTGTGGTGAGTTTGAGAGAATAGAAATAGACTGCTTTGCCCTGAGCAGATTACTTACTATAGTGTAAAATCCTCAATCTCCAGGCAGAATGGAACCTACATCCTAGACACCCTTGGGGAGGAGGAGTACAACCCCAAGGTCCTAAAGTAATATGATTAACCTAGTGTCCTGAAATATGATGACGTGAAGAAAATCAGATGTTTGTGTCAGGTCTAATGTAAGCAAGGTTTTACAGTATACCCATTTCCAGCCCACAAGATCTTGTCTGCATTAGTTTCTGTAAATTCCCAATCACACCCTTTGATCTAAATTATTATAATTAGTTTTTACTGTTTTTACTACTATAGTTATTTTACAGCATCTGGTAATCTTCACAGTTGAACAGCAAAGTGGCTGCATTTACCAATGATACTTAATATTTCAAAAGCGTAAAATAAAAAAATGAATTATGCAAAAGACTCTTTCTACACTTAGTAAAAGGGTTTCAAAATGCAGATGAAGTTCAGAGTAAGTAAAATGCAAAACCATGCATGCTGGCACCAACATTTGCTTTTTGTACATCAATGAATGGTATTTGGGCCTGTGGTTTCTAGCTAGGAAAGAAATTGTGGAGTCATGATGAAAATGTTAAAGTATTGGATTTTCACTGAGCAATCCTAAATCTAGTCTACCATCAGCTACAGAAATTCACCGTCTCTGAGCCCAACCTATAACACATCACAGAATTGACTGCTATATGAAAAATCAGAGAACAGAGTATTATAAATGCTTTAATGCGCTCCAGAACAAAAGGTGGAAAATAAATCTAACAATAAGCCATGGTCAAAAATCAAGCCAATTCATCCAGATTACTAATAAAAATGTTAAATAAGGCCCAGAATAAGGACTGTTGCATTCCACCCAATACTATTAATATAAAACCCTTTATAATGCTTTCTGAATGTAGTCATTCAGTCACTTATGAATTCATTTAATCTTCTAGCCTATATTTTATCAGTTTATTAATGAATTTATCAATGTGTTCAATGTTTTCCTGAGGTTAACATATACCATATCCACAGCATTCCCCTATCTATTAAATTAGTTATCAAAAAAAGAGTTGTTCAGCTTTGGCTGATATGCCAGTTATAGGCCTTTTTGGACCAAGATTTCTTGACAATAGTAATTCATTTCCTTGTCACTTCATAGCTAATGCAATGTAGATGATACATGAAGACAAACTTAGAAGTGTCAAGATCTATAGAATGCAGGACTATCTCTAATTGAGGAGAACAGATTTAGCAGTATTGGACGTATTGCGTTAGCCCTTCAAGGCTGGCCAGATCAAAAAAACAGAAGTCTCTTGATGTCTCAGGGTGTACTTTAATGCATTCAAGGTATGAAAATAAAATTTCAAAGGCCAGTCAATGCCCCTCATTACTTATATCTAAAAAAATCAACGCAGATTTTTTCTGAGTATCATTCTCACGCTTTCTACTTTCCCAGGGCTAAAGTTTAAAGTTAGCTAGGTTAAAGTTTTTGGGGTTTGGGGAAGAAACCACAGAGTCAGGTAAAGTATTCTAGACATTGACTACTCTGTTGCTGAAGTTGTGTTTCCTACAATCAAGTTTGGTGCAGTTTACCTTGAATTTGTATCTATTGTGTGCTCTTGTATTGTTATAGTTGAAGCTGAAGTATTCATTGATAGGTAGGACATTGCAATAGATAATTTTATGTATTATACTTAGATAGGACCGAAGGCGGTGTAGTTCTAGATTTTCTAGGTCTAGAATTTCAAGTCTGGTGGCATAAGGTATTTTGCAATGAGTAGAGGAGTGGAGAACTCTTCTTGTGAAATATTTCTGGACTTTCTCAACTGTATTAATATCAGATACGTAATGCGGGTTCCAGACTGATGAGCTGCATTCAAGTATTGGTCTAGCAAATGTTTTGTATACTCTAGTTATTAGTGTAATATTACCAGAGAAAAAGCTACGCAGGATTAGGTTAACAATTCTTAATGCCTTTTTGGCTATGTAGTTACAGTGGGCTCTAGCACTTAGCTCATTAGAGAGGAGTACTCCAAGGTCCTTGACAGAGTTTGGATCATCAACAAGGTCTTGACTATTCAGCTTGTATTTTATTTTCTGAATTTTTTTTTGCCAATATGTATGACAGAGCATTTATTTGTTGAGATTTGAAGTTGCCATTTGTTTGACCATTCTGACACATAGTTGAGGTTTTTTTGAAGGGCAGCAGTATTGTCAGTGGTGTTGAATAGCTTTACATCATCAGTGAAGAGAACAAAGTTGCTCTTGCCTCTACCCCTACCCTCACACATATCTGTCCAAGAATGGGCAAACAAGTTGTCAAGAATAGATCAATAGACAAGTCTGAAATATGAAAGTTTTCATCAAAGCTAGAATATGCCTTTTCCTATCTTGTCTGGCAACAGCAATGGGGAAACCTTTATTGCAGGAAGCAGGAGATTTTCCTGGTTCTCACTATCTGAGAAATCTGAAGATAGTTCAGGGGATGGGTCTTGCTTGAGTATTTTAGAAGAAACCAATGGGCAAATTGTAGTGCATGGATGTTTGGCTGAGAGAAGGATGTGTTGAGGACCTGTCGTTGTATTCTAGAGCTAAAAGGCAAGATCCAAAGTCTCTCTGGTGAGAGAGCAAAAAGACTTTCAGGAATGTTGTCACCTTTCAAGGCAGGCAAGGTCAGGAAAAGGATTTGCTAGCTAGGAGCTTTCCTGCATGCTTTAAAGCAATTGAAGTATTGTAGCAGAATCCTGAAAGCCTGCCAAAATCCCTCTCTATTTCAGTTTATGCTTCCCCAGGATGTGTGTGTGTGCGTGTGTGTGTAATTGCTTGGCACTCCCCTCCCCTGAGCCCACACATCATCACAAGTTATTTGCATTGGTTATTGCTTTGCGTCCAGTTCCAGTTCAATATGCTGATTGGCCCTTTAAAATTTTACACAAGGGGACTATATTTGCCACAGATTCAGGCCATCCCATGCAAGCTAGGAGAGGTGAGCGGCTGAATATACTTCCTTGTTGACTGCACTGCTCTTTGGACCAACCTGCCTATTGTGACAAAGAAGCCCCAACCTTCTGGCCTTCCAAAATACCTTGTTGTTATATGGGTGCTGAAAGCCTAAGAGCTGCCTTGGATTCATTAGGTCAAGTGCAGTATTGTTTGTATTGACTTGTTTATTTTTTACTGAAACTCACCTCAAGTCCTCAGGGAGTGGGTTAGTTGTTAATAACTCTGTGGTTGTGGGGAGAAAATGGTTGGGAGAGAGAGATTTTAATGTGTTTTTTTTTAAGAAATGAAACAAACATGTTTTCTTGTACATAAATCATTCTTTATTTTCAAGTCACTCGCTATAACTTCAGGAACTTCCATCAGCCAATATTATCATTCTGTATATTCACTGAAGTCTTTAGTATCTTTTAATTTTTTGTTTTCCTAGTGTTGTTACCTGTTGCAGATGTTGTTGCCTCAACTAAATCAGATGAAAAAGACTCATCTCTCCACTATGTATCTTCAGAAAGGAACTGGATTCTTTCTTCTGGTCATTCTTCCCATCCAGGTACTTTACTCTTTCTTCTTTAAAACATTTCCATCAAATTGTGCAGTTTGCTTTTCTTTTGTCCTGCATGCAGTTCTCTTATTTCCAATGAAGAGGTCAGCTGATTTTAGTCTTTTGTTGCAGTTAATATTTTAAACAGCCTTGGTAAACCACTCAGATTCTTGCCCTCCATTATTCTTATCTAGGGAATGTAAATAATTTAATAATTTTCAACAACCTCCTAAGGATTCTAAGAAGACATACAAGTGCTACTGCTATAGACTTTTAAGTCTATAGAGAACAGGTGAATGAAAAATGAGTGAACTGAATAAATATTTTAAGCCAGTGCTGACTTTCAGTGGACTTACATCTGATAGGGATGTAGATTTTGATGTAAGGTTAAATGAATGTACATTAAATCTACCTGAGGATGATAAGAGATATAATCTGTTTCATAGTTGATGCATTAGTTCTCATTTAAATCAAGCCTTCAGGGGAAAATGATATTTATTTCATTCACAAATAAAGTGCAGGAATATGGAAAAAGTGTGTCAAGCTCGAAACAGACATTTTAAAGCATTCTGAGCTTGAAACAAAACATGTGTGTTTTAAGCCTTTGTTCAAGATTAAGACAAAACTTGGCTGTTTTGAGCAGTCATAGAATATTATCTTGAAATAGTTCATTCAAACCATCAAACCATTCAGATCTCAAAATGGATTATTTTAAATGCTCCCAAGGTTAAAACAAAATGTTAGTGTTGAAAGGGTTTTATTTCAAAGTTAGAAGAGAATACTGAGCCATTATAAGTGTTTTTGCAATGGAACATAGTCAAGTGGATTTTCAAGGAAGTATTTTTAGCAGACCTGTTTTGTTCCAATCTTTTTTCTTTCATGTACATATTGGATAAAATCAGTCTTGTCTGACATCCTCTTTCCAGATGTAGCAAACCAAATGCTTCTGAGAACCCAGAAGCATGATATCAAAAAGAAATGGCAATAGTATTTAGACTTATATATTACCCCATAGTTCTTTACAGCACTGTCTGGGCAGTTTACAATGCATTATTTGCATATTGCCCCCAACAATCTGGGTCTTCATTTTGCCAACCTTAGAAGGATGGAAGGCTGAATCAACCCTGAGCTCTATCAGGCTCGAACTTCAGACTGGGGGCAGAGTTTGCCTGAAATACTGCACTTTAACCTCTGCATCACCAGCAGTGATTGCTTTCTATTTGTTCCATAGCAGTTAGGCATATTCTTTTAATTTTAAATTGTGTTTTTCAGATACATTTGACAGCATGTTCCATCAATAAATTCCAAAATGCATAAAGGAATATTTGTAAATAAATTTGCAAAAACTATAGAAGCTGTATTTTGTTCTCAGCTATTCTTGAGCCTAAGTGATATATTGGCAGTGTTAACCTTTAGATCAAGTTATTCAATAAATATTGAATCCCAAAAAAGGTCTTATTTATTTTCTGCAGCAACTGTTTTTCAAGAAAGGAACTGGGCAGAACAAGCAGATAGTTAGTATTAGTAGTAATATTACTAATCTTGTTATGATTTCTCTTTAGTATATATTTTATCTGTGCTTTTCCTCTGCTGTTCTTGTATTTCTATAAAAAAAACCTGACAAATTCAACCATGCAGCTTTAGAAAAAAAAATTATTATCCCAACTATTTGTTCCTCCAAATTAATTCATCTGAATGGAAAATACATCCTATGTAATAGAAAACATTTTTATATCAAGTATTATTTGGAGAAGTTTGTTTTCGTTTCAGTCTCATATGACATGCATTCTTCACATTACATTGCCTAATAACTGAAGAGAAGGTACATGAAAAGTCAGGACTTTGTCAGTAACAGCAGTGCAACAATTAATTTTATATCACTTTTTTTACTATTATTAAAATATAGTAGTAAATAATCGGGACAAAGGATATCCTCTATTTTATATTTGTATATAGCTGGACAACTTACGTTGTATCTGATAAAAAAGAAATGTAAAAATTTATTAAAGTTAGTATCATTGATTATAATAATATTTTGATTGATTGGTTGGCTGGTTGGTTGATTGCCCTTCATGAGTTTTTTGTCTTTTTTTATAATAGAAACTCCATGTAATTTTGGGTGGAACTGTTCCTGGATTATGTCTGCTAATAGCTTTGGACAACCTGACTGGCTACTATCTTCGGTTGTTGCTCTGACTTCTCAAGAAGATCAACACATTATGGACATAATCTCATCCAACAGAGATCTGGAAGGTTATAAATTTATGCTCTGTCTTTATAATTGTGGTTAGTTATCTGTCTGCCTAGAGAGTTTCCTTTCCTGATTGGATTTACTACTGTATGGTACCCCACACTCCTGAAGAAAACAAGAATGGCTCTCATGAATGAAGGCAAATAAATATACATGTCCCAGGATAATGTTGCAGGATCCGATCTCGATGAGTCACTGGGACCAGAGGTTTTGCCTTCCAAGCCTTCAGACTCATGCTGGAGCCCATCTGCAGGAACCTCTTTATGCTATAGAGAAGTTCCCTGAAGATGGGCTCCACCACAAGTCCAAAAGCTCATAAGACAAAACCTCTGGTCCTGTGACAGATCCAGATTGGATCCTGTAAGAATGGTGCTCTCTCTCTCTCTCTCCTACTCTCTCTCTCCCTCCTCCTTGCTCACACAGCAAATACTGCTTCAGTTTCCAAACAACCCTCAACTCTCTCACACACTGACAGGATGCAAGCCAGATGAATACCAATGGATGCTGGTAGGCAGAGGCAGAATTCCCCCGCCCTTATTTTCCTCCCCCAAAACTAAGCCCGATCACAACCACATAGTTTCGTAGCAAAGCACAGGTATCGAGCATAGATAGATAGATAGATAGATAGATAGATAGATAGATAGATAGATAGATAGATA